TCGCTGCTGCAGCTGCGGCTGTAGTGGCGGCCCCCACCATGGATGCTGTTCCTGCTGCTGCTGATGCCGTGTCTGCTGCTGCTGCGGTCATGCTTGCTGCTGCTGCTGCTGCTGCTGCCTTCATGCCTGCTGCTGCTGCCGTCATGCCTGCTTCCTTCGTGTCTGCTGCTGCTGCTACCGTCATGCCTGCTGCTGCTGTCATGTCTGCTGCTGCTGCTGCTGCTGCTGCTGTCATGCCTGCCGCTTTCATGCCTGCTGCTGCTGCTGCCGCTGTCATGTCTGCTGCTGCTGCTGCCGTCATGCCTGCTGCTACTGCCGTCATGCCTGCTGCTACTACCATCATGCCTGCTGCTGCTGCTGCTGCTGCTGTCGTGGTTGCTGCTGCCGCTGTCGGCCCTGCTGCTGCTGCCGTCGGGTCTCCTGCTACTGCTGTCATGTCTGCTGTTACCATTATCGTGCCTGCTGCTGCTGCTGCTGCCGTCGTGTCTGCTGCTGCTTTCGGGCCTGCTGCTGCTGCCGCTGCTATCAGGCCTGCTGCTGCCGTCGTGCCTCCTGCTGCTGCTGCTATCGTGCATGCTGCTGCTATGCGAATGTTCACCGATGCGCAGCTTGCTGCTGCTGCTGCTGCTGCTGCCGTGGCCTGAGCGGTAGTGGAGGTGCCTGCTGCTGCTGTTCGTGCTGCTGCTGCGGGCTCGGCCTCTGCTTCTGCTGCGGCTGCGATGGCTGCTAACTTCTGCATTAAGGCTGCTGCTGCTGCTGCTGCTGTGCTGCAGCGCATGCGCCTCGGACAAATGCTTGTTTGGAGGCGACAGGCGGTAGCTTCTGCTGCTGCTGCTCCCGCCGCTGCTGCTGCTGTGGTTGTTGTTGCTGCTGCTGCTGCTCTCTCTTGTGTGCCTGTGGCTCCTCTCAGGGCTTTTGCTGCTGCCCCGCTTCAATATGCTGCGGCTGGAGCCGCGCGCGTCTTGCGTGCTGCTGCTGCTGCTGTTGCTGCTACTGCTGTTGCTGCTGCTGCTGTTCGACACAAGGACAACACTGCGGGAGGTCCGCCGATACTCCAGGTGCCGCTGCTGCTGCTGCTGCTGCTGCTGCTGCTGCTGCTGCTGCTCACTACTACTGCTACTACTGCTGCTGCTGCTGCTGCTAAGGCCTGTTTCACGCTCAGCCCACGAAGCCATCCGGCTTTGGCCTGGGTGTGGGCGCGGGAAACGTTTGCTGCCATTGCTGCTGCTGCTGCTGCTGCTGCTGCTGCTGTTGCTGCTGTTGCTGCTGCTGTCGCCAGCCGCATCTCCGTCCCGGTCATCCCTGCTGCTTACTCTTAGAGTCTGCGTGCTCATTGCTTCCGGGCGGCTGCTGCTGCTGCTGCCGCTGCTGCTGCTGCTGCTGCTGCTGGGCGTGGTACGCGCAGCGCGGGCCTGCAGCTTATCCCGCAGACTGCGCACCTTGGAGTGCAGCAAATCTAGCTCCCTGGCGTCGTCTTTCATCATGTTGCTGCTGCTGCTGCTGCGGCAACTGCTGCTGCTGCTGCTGCTGCAGCTGCTGCTGCAGCGGCGGGTCCTTCGTCTGCTGCTGCAGCACAAGTAGCTGTTGGTGCTGCTTCTAGAGGCCAATCTACTGTAAGGGTTTGCCGGGCCGGCAACCACTCATTATGAAGCGTAGGAAAGCCGCATTTGAGGCCCTCCTTGCTGCTGCTGCTGCTGCTGCTGGTGCTGCTGCCGCAGCCGCTGCTGCTGCTGTTGTTGCTGCTGCTGCTGCTGTTTCAATGGGCAAGGGGAGCAGACGGCCGCAGCGGCAATCAGTGTGGGGCCTCCTAGGCCTTTGTTGAAGGTACTTTTGCTGCAGCTGCTGTTCAGGGTCTCTGCTGCGGCTGCAGTCGCCTCTCCTGCTGCTGCTGCTGCTGCTGCTGATGCTGCAGGCAGAGGATAAGGTGGGGGAGTTAGGGCCAGACTGTGGCCGCCAAAAGAAGGGAAGCTGCAGAAAAGCGTATTATATTCCAGCAGAAGGGGATTCTGTTTGCTGCTGCAGCAGCAGCAGCAGCAGCAGCCCCATGCCGAGGCCTCGCATGCAGACAACGTTGGCTGCTGCTGCAGCAGAACGATGCGAGGCCTTTTTCTCCAAAGTTTCTCGCTATAAAGCCCCAAAAGAAGATGTTTTAACAAAATAGTTTATTTGATTTTTTTTATCTTCAAAAATGCCCCAGGGCCTCCCCTGCGCAGACGCCGCATGCAGCGCCGCCCATAGTTAAGAGCCAACCCCAGCAGCGTTTTGCTTCCAGTTTGCTGCTGCCACAAATCTGCTGCTGCCAAGCCTCTGCTGCATTCGCCTAAAGCCTCTTCTCTGCTGCTCCTGCTGCTGCTGCTGCTGCTGCCAGTTGGCAGCAAATAGCTGCCAGCTCAACAACCCCCCGGGGCCCCCGGGGCCCCCGGGGAGTTGTTTGCTGGCTTGTTAGTTCTTGCTGCAGTTGGGACTTGTGCGAATTTCGGCCTTTTTCTTTTGCTGCTGCTGCTCTCTAA